ATCTATCTATCTATCTATCTATCTATCTATCTATCTATCTATCTATCTATCTATCTATCTATCTATCTATCTATCTAAAAACAACAAAAAAATTCTATATTCAACAAAATACAATCACAAATTAAATGATGTCCATATTTACTGTAAAACAAAGACACAAGTCTTGTCTTTTTAAAATGTCTGCGCTTCACCTTTCTCCCATTATCTGTCCTCGCTGGGTTTATTTCAGCCCTCTACTTATTCCTTTATTTACACATATGCACACATACACTGCACCTGCAGGGCCTCCTGTTGCATCTTTTCTCTTTCTTTGTCTCGGTCTCCTGAGATGTTGCTCAGTCCTGGTCTCTCTTTCACGGTTTCCTCTTTCTTGCGGAGCGTCTCTTGTGCTGATGGCCAATTTCTCGGGGGAAATTTCACAGAGGAGCGATACAAAGCTCCAAACCTCCCATGGCTCTGTCTCTGCTTCCTATCACAGCCTTACAGGGCTTCCTGCACACACACACACACACACACACACACACACACATGGTAAACACACACATCCAGTAAAGTTATTACCACACACACACATGTTTAGAGTGTACATGTGTAATAGAGGGAAACTGAGCGTGCACAACTATCGGTTTGTATTTATTCCACGTTTATGCTCTTCAGCGCCGTAATGACACTTGTCATGTTCCACTGGGACAAATGGGCTTACTTACAGACACACACACATACACACAATATTCAGGCTTGCACAGACTCATACAAGATAACCCCCCGCACCCACACAGAGATATGAAAAACTGGATAACATAAACAACACAAATGTTCAGGCCAACAAATAAATCATGTGTTTGAAGTTCTGCTGCAGCAACATGTTAAATCCAGTCAGGTTCAAAACCACACACATGCTGAGAGAGATTTTGTCAGAACTGATTCTCACTTGTGGAAAGTTCATGGTTGAACAAAAATGACAATATTTTTCTCTCATACATCATTTCAAATACCTGCAGACACATTGATGGGGGAATAGTATTATGTGGCTTCAATGTTGGATTGTAGGGCCATAACCAGCTGATGATGTAAAAAGAATGCCCCTCCACCCGCCCAAAAAAATAAATCAAATAAATAAATTTATCAAAGTGTGCAAACTAAACACAAAACAAAACAGGAACTTTATGCTGATTAGACATGGCGTGCACTGCAGAAAACAGGAAACACATCCAAGTTCTCTACTTCCTGTTCATTATTTACTTTTGTTCAAGTGGCAGGAAATGTAATTAGCAGTGATTCTTGTTGTGTAACTGATGACTGCAGTTTGTCAGCTCCTTCTAAAGTTGTAAAAGATTACAACATTGCATTGATGTATCGTTTTAAGCCCATCAACCACTGGTTAATCTTAGCCGCAGCTATTAGTTTTCTTTCTAACACTAAAACTGCTGCTTTTGTTGTGTACATTTCACAAAATGCGGGAGAAGAAACTGTAATAAATTCTCTCTCAAAAAAACAAAACTAAAAAAAACACAATCACAGTAATCCCCAAATGAAACCAATACAAGGAGTTTTTTCAGACAAATCCAAATCTCCATTACTAATATATTTGCCTTCACCATTTCATTACAAAGTAAGGATTTTTTTTATCACGATTAGCTACACCCTTGCATGAGAACCCCCCTCATACGCTCACAATATGGGCCTCCTTCCAGCTCCTTTATGCGTTTTTATTTAAACTTACGCGCAAAAGCTCGGAAGCGATGATGCCGCGTTTCCTGTTGCTGCAGCCCTGTTCCATTATCACTTGGTGTTAACGTTTAGCTTGTAAAATATTTGACAAGCAAGCATTTCTAAGCACAGATGGAGACATCACATTTTGCAGCTTTATTTTTTTGCAGGGAGCGAGTGTGTGAGTGCACAGACGAGGACGGGAGTGTGTGTGCAGTTTGTGTGTCTAGCCATGGGCTGATGAGGGGAGGCATGTGGTGGCCATTTAGACGGATTAGAGCTGTCAGAGACATCAAGCGCGACTAATTATTCTGTTAGCACACTACACTGCGGGGATACAAAGTGTGTGCATCTCTGTGTGTGCGTTTGCAAAAAAGGGCTTGTCAGGGAGACACAGAGGGTGAGTAAAGCTCGAAAAAGAGAGATTTTAGAGGAATGGATGACAGATGGAAATGAACTGAGGCAGAAAAAAGAGCAAAAAGGGGGAAGAAAGGACGAGATCTAAAAGCTGCTGTTGTTATGCAGACAGAATATGCTCCACGTATGAAAGATGGACTGATAGGAGCAGAGTGAAGGGCAGATCTGAGGTGTAGTGAAAAGCCCTGTAGGTAGGACTTGAGAAAGATATAGACAAAAAAGACAAGAAAAATAAAGGAAAAGCATACGAGGATGTGAGTGAGGAAAGGTTAAGAAGGACACATCAAAAAAAAAGGAGGGATGAGAGAGACAGAGGGAAAAGTGATGACCTACCTCATGCCTTCATGGATAACTGCATTTGTATCCAAACATCCCAACATGCACCGCTCTTCCACTCGGGACGAAATCGGCCCGCGGCACCCAATCAGCCGTGGCCTTTTACCACTTTGCCGTGGGGCAGCGTGTGCACGAGTGTGATTGCAGTGTGTGTGAGTTCAAGCGTGACTGCAAACACACATCTGTTTGTATGTGTTTATAGATATATACCTTCTGACTCCACTGTCTGCCTGATTTATCTTCAAACGGACAGCTCACTCATCTCCTCACCCACACTGTCCTTTCTTATCTAGTTTTTTTCTCTCCATCGAGTCCATCTCTCTATCTCTCTATGCTCACCACCAATCCATCCGTCTTTTAAACACCTTCCATCTTGGGCCACCCATCCCATTTGACTCCTCCACACATCGCTCCATCTGCATCTGCTTCCCCGCAGGAGAAACAATTTCCTGAATCCCACCAAGGTGGAAAGATTTCAGATTTAATACATCGCCCGTTCGTGCGATTCAGAATTTAAAGGTAAGAGTGAGCGGCTCAAAGGTGAAGGAGAAGAAGAGCGAGGCAGAAGGTGTGAGGGACGTTTTGGGGTGAATAGATGGAAAACACAGCGTGTTCCCCTCGGTGGTACACAAGCCCATCAGTTCATGAACTGTCCTTCTGAAATCTCCACTACTCTTCTCAATTTAACTCTTTTTCTGCAACGTTATTGGCTTCATTAGCTTGCTCAAATGAATTAGTCATTCGCACATTAAAGCTCCTCACAAATTCAACCAGAAAAAAAATCTTTGAAAATGCGAGGTAAAGCGATTATGAATGCAGTTTGACTTTCATGCATGACAGCTTCAAACAAAGAGGTCATGTCATGATGTTGTAAAAGCTTATATAGCATGCGCCAGGCGTGCTTTGGTCCGGTGCAGATGATAGGAATCTTCTAAAATATTGCTTTTCTACATGTTGCTCTGTTACGGGCAGTCAAGGCTCCTTAAGTTAAACAAATATTGACTTTCTTGTTGCTGAATGTCAAGTCTGTTTGACACACCAACAAACGCCATGAGGAAGTTCAGGTATGTGAAAGAGGACCTCTAAAAAACATTATTTTTGTGTTTTATTCATTGTTAATAAACTAAACTGGCTGCTGTGAACAACAGTGTTAAGAGAGCAGGACTAAGATGTGTTCCAAAATATTTCATCCAGACCACAAGAAATTATCATAAAAAATATACTGTATGTTTCCTATAGTGGTCCGGGCCTTGTTCACTGATGTCGAACAACTAAAGAGTGATTTTTTTCTGATATGGGTTAGAAATAACCTGTAATAAATGCTTATATTGTGATTATATGTGTGACAAGTCAGGTTGTAATGGAGGTTCCCCATCAATCTGTAACACAAACTAATTTATTTTGTTTACCTTTCATCTGTATATTTAAAAAAGAAGCAGCAGAAATTATGCTCAGGTAATTTATTCAAAAATAACCAAATATGTCATTGTATTTATTTGAACATTTAAACCTTTATTTGGGGTTGCCAGCTCTGGTTGCCAGTGCACAGAAGAGCTTTTAGGTTGCTTTTTACTGCCCCCTGGTGGTGAAAGCAGGAAACTACATAACTAAGGGATTCACGTTTATCTGTGATCATACTTTAATTATAAAAACAATAAATAAAACAAACTTAAATTGTCAGAAATTGGTTTGTTAAATTTCTCAGATTTATCTTTATTTCATATAAAAAGTAGAATGACGATGGCAAACAATATAAAACAAATTTTGTCATGCAAAGGAGTGCACGGAATTGAACAATGAACTTGAAAAATGGAATAAATGAGCAACTGAGAAAACATTACTGCATGTTTGTCTTACTTTTTTAAGGTTTTCTGTCAGAGACAATGAGCACAAAGAGGTGATAAAAATTGGAAAGAGGAAAGACAAATTATGGTCAATTAAAGTCAAATTACGAGGCCACACCAGCAACATTAGCAACCAGAACTGATAATAAATCATCTCTGTGCTCCTTGACGGTGGGTAGTACTCACATCTATAATTGGTACAAATTGGAAACCAGCAGAGCATTTTAACTTCAGTTAGTGTGTCTGAGTGTGTGTGTGTGTGWGTGTGTYAGTGTGCTTAAACAAGCTTTTAGTGTTCTCATTAACGTGAAGAAGATAAAATGAAGGATTAACACAGCCTATCTTTTTTTTCCGTACTAAACGGCGAGGCATCTGATTTCAGCTCTATAATTAGCTGCTCGTTATCCACTGAGMGCAAATAATCTGTAAAATTAGCATCTGTGGTAGAGCTGCTCTAATAAAACTGTTATGTTTCAATGCATAAGGAATACAGGAAAAACCCAAATAAAAACATTTACTTCTCCTAAGAGTCCTATTTTTTGTTACTAAGTACTCTTTGGTATTGCTATAATCTTGGTGCAATGCAGCAGCACAGTATTTGATTCATAATAAGAATTTCTAACTTACATTTATTCTGGAAACAACTGTAATAGGGAGCTTTATATATTATTGTATTACAGTACGTCATATTAAAGTTATGTTACCTGAAGATTATAAACTGACTTTTGAAGCTAGTAGGCAAAGTTATAGTTGTTTGTCTGCATGTTGGCCTTTTGATGGACAGACAACCTGTCCAGGATGTACCTGGCCTCTTGCTCCTTTGATCGCTGGGAATGGCACCTGCAACCCTGACTGGGTTTCAGATTTCAGATTCAGATTACTCCAGACAAAATTACAAAATTTTCTTTTTCTGTGCATAAGAATTGCCCTCGTATGGTATCATAACAGGACTAGTTTAATCATTGCGGTGAAATTAATACATATCCAAATTAGTTTGTCGAAACCTGTAAACCATTAGAAGCCACATCAATTTTTGAATCAATGACAATCAACTAAACCTGCCTTACATAGTTAAAAAATATATGTGATGTACTAAGAGCAAACACAATAAATGTAAGACGTGTACTTTTGTACCACGTTATCAATTCATTGGTAGTTAAATTAGTAGACAATAGAAAGAGAGCATCTGTTCCACAAACAAGTAGCTCACTTTACGCATGCGCAACGCGCCATTGAAGGAAACYGTGCGAGAAGAGATAGAAGTGGGAGTTAACTTATCTGTTATTACTTGATCCCACTCAGGTAAAGATGCCTCTAAGATTAAACACAAATGGAGTAATGTTTCACTTGTTTTAGTAAACAGCCGGAGGACTTTACAAGGATAACCCAAGGAGTTTACAGGACCTGCGAAGTCTCAACACTAGTGGAACAGCAACTCCGGACAGTTTTCACCTGTTAGCCATCACACCAGCTAACTCAAGGTAGCGCTAAATTGCTAAGTACCTCATCTGAAATGTCTTCGTATGTTATGGGTTGTATATAAAACACTTAATATCAATGTTTAGAATAATTTCAATACGTTATTTAGCCGCTGGCTGACAAAGCAGCAAGACAGTATGAAATGTTTAGCGGTGTTTGCTAACCTTTCCAATGCTACGTTAGCTGGGATGCTATCAACGATCATCTGTGCTAGCTGGTGTTTTCGTAGCAGGTATTCCTGATGTAGTTTTAATACATGGTTGTTTCCTGTTTGTACCTTTCATAATAAAATTTAACAATCTTGAGGCGACTTGGCTTATGAATGCTGAGCTAAAATATCTGTCTAAATTTGCTTCGTAGACATTCAGAACATTACATTCTGAAAGATTAACTGAAATAGCAAATGTATGCAAGTTTGTACTAGGAGTGATACATTTATTTTGAAATCGAAACATCCTCACTTCCCGTTGAAATGCCGTAACTTTTTTTTGCACCTCCCCCAAACAAACAGCAGCCAGTCTGGCGCCGCTAGTAAGCTAACCAACGCGACACTCTTGTTGTTTACGGTAAAAGAATCACTTAAGTTCTGTAAAGAAACTTGTAAAATACGCATTTTGTTTTAACTCGCGTCCTTCTGTATGGGTGAGACAACAGAAGTTATTTTCACTTTATAAATACTTATTGTTAAACTAAGAATGGGTCATCGATTTTGCAAGGGTAACCTTACTTGACTCAAATATATATATATATATATATATATATACAAAATTACATGTTTGTTTTTCTAGTTGATTAATTTATCCAAGATCAGGTTTATCCAGTGAAAAAACTCATATTNAGTTGTACACTTATCACTGTACAACTTACAGTCAGTGTAAAAGATTATGTAAATCAAACTTTTTGCACAACTTTTAACTAACGTGATGATTTTATTTTCTTCTTTTATCAGCTCTTCGCTTGGAGAAAGATTTATCATCTTAAATCTTAAAACTGACCTTAATCAGTCCCGTGAAGATCATTTGGGCACCAACCATCCCGAGGATGACGTGAAACTTGACACAAGAAGTGAAATACTTTCTCAGAACGTGTGGCAGAAGTGTCAAATTAAAATGTCTATCACCAACACTCCTACCAGCAATGATGCCTGCTTAAGCATCGTCCACAGCCTGATGTGCCACAGACAGGGTGGCGAGAGTGAGACGTTTGCAAAACGAGCCATCGAGAGCCTGGTGAAGAAACTGAAGGAGAAGAAAGATGAGCTCGACTCCCTCATCACAGCTATCACTACCAACGGTGCCCACCCCAGCAAGTGTGTGACCATTCAACGGACCCTTGACGGACGGCTGCAGGTAAGAGATTAAAAAAAAGAGTATGCACGTAAATATGAAGATGTTTTCTCATCACCTACAACAAACGCTGGATTTAAATTCATTGTGCTTTAATTTATGWATATAAAAACACAGTCATGGCCTAAGATGTGAGTGCAGTGAATTATTTCCGTTTACCTGTGTTGTTTCCAGGTGGCGGGGCGAAAAGGATTCCCTCATGTAATCTATGCCCGTCTGTGGCGATGGCCTGACCTGCACAAAAATGAGCTGAAGCATGTGAAATACTGTCAGTACGCTTTTGATCTGAAGTGTGACAGTGTGTGCGTGAATCCCTATCACTATGAAAGAGTGGTGTCTCCTGGCATTGGTAGGTAACTGGGAGCTCTGAATTATAACCACCTGTGCAAAGTATAGTAATCAGAGACTTAACATTTTAGTGTCACAGTTTGAGTTGAAAGACAAAAGATATGAATTTTACATTTTTATTGGATTGGCTATTAATTAAAGTTGTCTGGTTTAAAAAAATCTTGTTAGGGTAGCTTGTTTTTCTACTAAAATCTTTTAAAAGCTGTTTTATGTTTTCATTAGTTTCCTTCAACCTTTTAGTTTTTACCACTTTAAATGCAATTAACATAGTCTGTAGAGTATCACGCTTCTAGCCATTTTGTCTCTTGGCTTACAGACCTATCAGGATTGACTCTGACCGGTCCTGGTCCCAGCTCATCACGACCAATCAAGGACGAGTATGATTTTGATGGGCCGCAGAGTATCCCCTCTGTTGAGGGGGGGCACTCTCTTCAGACCATCCAGCACCCTCCGTCCAGTAACCGTCCCCCTCAAACCGAATCCTTTCCAACCCCGAGCCTGCTCCCACCCACCGAGGCGTCCGCCTCGGCATCAGCATCGTCCTTTCCACCTATTCCTGCAGCTTCAAGCAGTAAGACGCTTTAACTCTTTCCTCTTAAGATACACTGTTTTTGTTTATGGGTTTGTCTCAGTTGGCTTTTTATAAGGATGACAACTGTAAATTTGTGAGTTTCCTGTTTTCATCTCTGATTTGAATTTCCTCCTCAGGTGCCAGCTCCAACTGGCCCAGAAACAGTGTTTTCCCGCCCAGCATACCCCACCACACCAACGGTCATCTTCAACACCACCCTCCAATGCCGCATCCGACGCACTACTGTAAACGTTTGACTTTTCTCTTCCTTGTTTAAAGCACAAGAAGTCATTTTTATTAATTTTTTTATATCGATCCATCAGGTTGTTACTAACATAAATGTGTATTTTTTTCCTCCTCAGGGCCAGTGCACAATGAGCTCGCCTTTCAGCCCCCTATATCGAACCATCCAGGTGAGAAAACAACTCGCGGTGTGGAAAATTAATGTCAACACATTTGCCTATTGGTAACAATATTGGCAAAACTGACATTGCAGATTTTCTCTAACCCTGCGATGTACATTGCGATACGAAAAAAATGTAGGAATTTACCTCTTTTCTTCATGTTGCAGTACATTTTTGCCTGTTTRAATGTGCTCAGTTTCATTAATTAATATTGTATCCTTTAGGATTTCTTGTTCAGTTACATTTCTTACTGGAGCCTGACTCCTTCTGCCCTCTGCTTTAGCTCCTGACTACTGGTGTTCCATCGCTTATTTTGAGATGGACGTTCAGGTCGGGGAGACYTTTAAAGTGCCATCTTCTTGCCCCATTGTGACTGTGGACGGATACGTTGACCCCTCCGGAGGAGACCGCTTCTGTTTGGGCCAGCTCAGCAATGTACATCGCACTGAAGCTATCGAGAGAGCTCGGTAAGTTATCCAGCTACTATTTAAAAAGCAAAAAACGTGTTGGATAAGCGGTGCTGCTCGGGACTCCCAATGGAAATAGAAAAGATCCACAGCTGGTGTAATCTTTAAATCTTCAGGCTTTTGGACAAATAGCATATTTTATGACATTCAAATGACATTTTTTTCTTCACTTCCCAGACTCCACATTGGAAAAGGAGTCCAGCTGGAGTGCAAAGGTGAAGGAGATGTGTGGGTGCGGTGCCTCAGTGACCACGCTGTGTTTGTTCAGAGCTACTACCTGGACAGAGAAGCTGGCCGAGCTCCAGGGGATGCTGTTCACAAAATCTACCCGAGTGCTTATATCAAGGTAAGGCAGTAATCCAGGGCTGAAACGATTCCTCGAACAATTCGATTACAAAAAATCCTTGAGGCAAATTTATCTGCCTCGAGAGCTTCGTAAAAAATACATACTGTTATAATCAGCGCACTTTCGTCCGCCCGGAATGTTATTTGTGTTACACACAATGCTACGATGTTAGCGCTTCCGCTAACAGTCACACTGTCGACGCGTCGCGCATGTATGCTTGCTGAGTGCTATATTTAGCTTTAGAAGAAGACGAAGTGTGCCGAAACGAAGCGCCCAAAAGATGACGAATTAAAAAAAGTATGGGAACATTTAAAACTAAACAGAAAAGACGACAACGCAATGCTCTGCACATCCTCGATGTTTCTGCACCGGAACAAAAATAGCTGCTGCATGTACCGAATGCGTCCGGAGTTAACAACAGATATTTGTTTACGTTCCCTTTTGCAAAATACAGTTTCCTTAATCTGTGATAATCTGTCATGTTACAGATGTACAAGGAGGAGGTATATTTTAAGCTAACGTTATTTGTGCTGACTAATAGGGATGTCCCGATACCACTTTTTCACTTCCGATACGATACCGATATTACAACTTTGAGAAATGTCCGATACCGATATTGACCGATACCGATATTGACCGATACCGATATTGACCCGTTACTATAACAGTGCAAGTCACACACTTTTACCTATTTTGTAATGTAAAATCTTAGAAAA